TCCCAACATTACACATCAGCCTTGCTTTTTCGTGCTCATACAAGTCACTTCCTTGCAGCCATTTGTATTTTCCTTTAACTCTTTAAAAAATAACAAAACCCCCACAATCTGATGCCTGTCAAAGTAGCAGAACTGCTTCACATTAGAAGCACTAGACCCTGGAAAACTGCTCCATCAGAAATTTCCTTTGGTGTTTCTGACGCCCATGGCAGAAGACTCGAAGTGGCTGAACTTGCTCCTTTGCTACCTGTGAATGTTATATTCCTTCCATTCATCTCATTTGGCAAAAAATAGTCCAGGGATCATCAGTTGTTAAGCAATGCTTTGAGTTGCACATACTTTGGTCTTTACTCTGTTGAGCTGGTAGCCAACATAAGTCAGAAAAACCCGTTTTTTTCCCCCCACTGTGCTCTACCCAAGTGCCAAAAGAAATCGAGACAAATGGGGAGAGCAGAGATGCGTTGGATCCAGCCAAGAACACTAGCTTCTATTCATCCGTTCTTCTGAAGTTTGTAAAAGTAGTAGTTTCTTTTTCCGGTATTCTTCATTCTCCTTCTCTGCCTCCTCATCTACAGATTTTCTTATACATGCTTTAAGTTCCTCAATTCCTTCTCCAGTATATGTAGATATAGGAATTATATCCTTGAATTCAAGTGTATTTGCAGGAATCACTTCTTCCTGTAGTACGTGTAAGAAGTCTGAAAAACAATACTGAAAGAGTTACTACAATCCCCAAATACTGTATCACTACAAAGCCCATAAAATCCCATTAAATTTAGAAAAATGAGCTTTAAAAAGTTACAGTAACAAACATAAGTGCAATTAATACAGAAGTATTATTTGTTTAATCAATCTTTAAAAAAATAGCTAAAGTCTCAGAAGACGAGCACTAACATAGCAGTTATACCACACTTGCGTTCTCGTTAGAAGATTTTATACCCTTACTTTAAGATGAGTACAAAGAAATCCCAAGTTGTAGAATATGGGAGATGAATGGTTTTAAGCCTTCCTGGTTCTTATACGCTCCAGGAAACAGGAAGAAATTCACCCCAATGTAATAGCAAAATTGAAGTAAACCTACATAGGCCTGTCCAGAATTTTCAGGTGTTCTGGCCAAAGTCACATAATAAATTCTATACACATCCGTGTCTGTAAGGGGACCTTCAACGGAGGCTACTGTTATCCAGCATACCTAGACTGGAAATTTACTCTCCCATATCATAGCTGCGAAAGATCTTCTAGAATATCTCCATTTTATTAAAATACTTTGTCAACAGTGAAGCCAGCACTACAAATGCATATAAACAGAGCTCTAAATGCAGGAAGTGGTTTTAAAACATATGTTCAAATAATAAACTTAATAGCCAACTTCAGTTTGAAACAACTCCTTCCCAACGCAGTTACCCCTGCTGAAATCTTATTACTACTTCTGTCAAAAATAATTGTTCAAAGTTGATTTACCTTGAGGATTCTGTAGTTGTTTCATAAGTTCATTCAAGTCATCCTTTGCACCAGGCAAATCCATTTTATTGATGGCAAGAAGTGCAGGCTTTGTTAGAAGTTCGTCTTTGTATAACTCCAGTTCCTTAAGAGACAAGTAAATTTGCCATAAGTATTTGCAGTTTAACAAGTACTACTTCCATTTTACATCTCCTCTTTCATTTGTTTAATTGCATAAATAGTCTTTCACGCCTAGGGAGCTGTGAGAGTGACTCAGGTGCTCAAGATTCATGTATTAAAGTAGTCTGACAAAAGAAAATAATGTACAGTGATTCAGTGATTTTTTTGCCCAAACACAGATATTTTCAGGGTAACAGGCTGGCTGATTCTGAAACAGTCTCCTATAAAAAGAATGACAATTTTGGTTTTGTTTTTCTGATATCCACAAACACAAAAATCAATTCCAGAAAAAGTTCAGATCTATAAGACATGTAAGAAAATTATTTGGGGAGTTTTCTGATTCTTAAGCATTTTAACAGACTATGGTTAATATCAGAAATAAAATCACAACCAAGAATATGTTAAAAATAAACAGCAATAGCTGAAATTCAGAAGATTCATCATCTTAAGTCACATAGCTAGAGAGAGAACAGCTGCTAAACTTGAAATTACATAGAAGGTATTACTTTAATCAGAAGCAATGGTAAGAGATAGAAACACCAAACATCTGCAAAGCTGGGGCCTGATGTCTCATCTCTATTAGGCTATGCATCAGGGCAGGGATTTAGATATACCCACGTATTTCTACTTCACAAAATGCTGCCAAACTGGGGAACTCAAAATGATGTGTCTTTTCACCCTCACTTGAGTGCAAGAAATGTCCCATATGCTGCACAGATTAATGAAGGAACGGATGTGCCCAACAAAAAATAGAGCAAGTTTGCTGATGATATAAAACTGGG